CCCAACCACCCGCACAATCCGGACAGCAACACGAGCCCATTGGGGTTTGTTAGCCCTGACCATGGACAGTACAGGACATTAAACTTGGCGTTAACCCCCGGTCACCAACTCTGACCCACAGGGCCCACAGGTAGGAGTGGACATCGTGGTCAGTTTGCATCGCAATCATAGTGTGGAGACGGTGACGAGTGGCCGGACTGGGCCTGATTGCATGACCACTGACAACTTGCCCAGATAGCGGCCACGAGGGAGATAACCCGTGGCTTGGCGATTCTACCCATGCCCAACTTGGCAATCTCACGGTTCATTAATTACTTATTATGTCTTGCTACTTAACCCTTTCAGGGCCAATTAACTCTTTCAGGGCCAAGCGCCTACCCATCAGTAGCGCCTGTTTTGTTTTGACAAAAGATAAATACATCGACACAATATTTGTCACTAACTACAAGAGCTAAGTAAAACATATACTATTTCTATGTAGGTGTTTTTACACCCCCATCAACACAATTTTAAAATCATTTAGAAAACAGGCGCCTGACAGGAGAAAGACAGCATAGATAATAGATACTCCATAAAAATGTCTCCCCATACTCAAGAATTGAGCGCGGGTTTCCTGCGTGCAACAGCGAAGGACCTAACTGCTACACCACAGACGTCCGTCAGAAATGAAGGAAACATCGGGAGAAATTGGGACCTACCAGAGACTCAATACAAACTTCCACATCAGTGTCTAGGGTCTATCTTTCCACTTTTTTAACCGTTTACTGACGACATTTCGTGATGTAGTTGAGTAAATTTACTTTACCATGATTACTTAGCGTGCGGGAAAAGTAAGACAGACAGAGAGAAAGAACAGAGGAAAAGTAAAGGAGTAGGACGTATAACCAGTGGGGCCCTCCAACCACCAGCGTTTCTGACATTTCGTGGCACTAGCACAAAAAGACTTAATTCGATATCACTGGGTGGTAGGTTGGTGGCTATCGTGTTGGGTTTACGGCAGACCACATAACGGTTATATTACGCTAGGGAACGAAATAAGACAAAAGTAATGACGAAAAGGAAAAGAAGTAGAAGTAGCAGACCCCGTCCAGCAACCCTCTGACCATAGGTTTAGTTTTTTAGTTCACACAATAACTGTCATAAAAAGCATGGAGAAAATATGAGAGAGAGAGAGAGAGAAAGAGACAGACAGACAGACAGACAGACAGACAGACAGACAGACAGACAGACAGACAGACACAGACACAGACAGAGAAACCGAAAAAACAGAAGTTGGACTTTACAGTGGCACCCTTCCACTACGTCCACACGTAAAGTACAATCAAAAGTGTCCAAGACGGCCGCCCACATTCGAGGACAAAAGTGGATGCCTCAGACAGGTAAATGTGTTGGGCTATGTCATCATATTATAAACAAGACGCAAGGGGACAAAAGGGAAACTGTTGTACAGGTGATTGCCTTGGACAGGTGACCGTAAGAGCAGATTCGACTGCACTCATTAATCACAGTCAACGTTCACACGAGGAATGCATTAATGTATTCTTATTGCACAGACAATGTAATATATTAATAGCGCTGACCGCACAGTTCACAAATTCCACCAGCTCAGTCATGGAGTAACAAAAGCAATTACCAGCTCATTATTAGCATAATGCACTTCTTCTTCCCTATTCCAGTTTCATTTTCGCAGTAAATGTACATACATTTTTGTCTGTAAACTGAGAGCAAGGGGAGCAGACACGACAGAACTATTGGAAACCATTACCTGCCTTTTAATGGGAAATGTATTCACCCCCCCCCCCCCCCTTTCCCAATTGACAAAGATCATAATAAACAGATAGGCTGATGCACCCCATCTGCCAGGATTGAGCAGGATGCAGCATCTAAGCAAACAGTCAGAGACAATTCATAAAATTAAAAACATTGCCACTCGCGAATTGAACTCACGTCTCCTGCATGCAACAGTGAAGCACCAACTATCATTATTCCACAGACCTCGGTCCCCAACTGATGTTCTAAACAGTTGCAGCTTAAGTTCTCACCCCACTGTTATGCCGAGAGTCTAAGAGAGAAGAGTTTGAGAGAGAGAGAGAGAGAGAGAGAGATGAGAGAGAGAGAGAGAGAGAGAGAGAGGAAAAAGAAGAAGAAGAAGAAGAAGAAGAAGAAGAAGAAGAGGAGGAGGAGGAGGAGGAGGAGGAGGAGGAGGAGGAGGAGGAGGAGGAGGAGGAGGAGGAGGAGGAGGAGGAGGAGGAGGAGGAGGAGCATTAAGCAATATTCTAAAGAAGTGCTTGCTTCTCCACAATACAACAGCAAACAACAGGTTAGTTCCAAAGTATAGGCATAGGCAACTGTGATTCGAGTCTTCAAAGGGGTATTCTTGAACAAGGGCAGTTTTTAGAAAGTTTTAGAACTTTTCATGGTTCTATATCCAACTGTTTTTGTTCGTTTCTGGAACGAACGTGAAATCTGAGCATCCGACCGGGGTCTTAAACAGCCTGACTATGTTGAAATAAACGCATAACCCATACACAATCAACTATACCTAGCAGTTTACTAGAGCTGTCCGGAGGCACGAATTATTGGTTTGGATGATGATGCACTAGGTTCTCACTAGGAAAAGTAAGAAAAATGAATAGAAACAAAAAGGGGGGAAAAATTCAACAACACGATCAAGAAGACACACAAGAAGAAAAACAAAAGCATAAATCTACAGACAAGACACTCACCTCTGGCCTATCTTCATCATCGTCTCCTAGGAGGAGATCATCATCGTTATCATCAGCGTCATTGTCTTTATCATCCCGCTCGGCGCCAAACACAGAGGAGAAATTGTTTATCTCGTCTTGGGGAGTCTTGTCCCCTTCCGTGTCCTCCCGCACATTGTCATAGCCGCCAGGACTCGCCATCCTTTGTGGATCTATGATGGGACGATCCACAAACGAATCCACATCTACGCCAAACACCTGATCTATCCTCTTCCTCGCCTCCTCCTCCACCTCATCTTCCTTATCCGCTTCTATCGTATACGTCCCTGCCTCACTCGCCTTATCCTCTTTATCCTCCCTGCCCTTGTCCGCCACACCTTCTGTAATTCTCAGATCATCTTCTTCCACATCCTCCTCATCATCAACGAGGTCATCATCAATTGCCACAGTTTTCTGAGACGTCTTCGTGCGTGGCGGCGTCTTTGCATTAGAGATCTTTGCGTGTGGCGTTTTAGTGTTTGACGTTTTTGCAGTCGATGTCTTTGTTTGTGATGTTTTGAGATCATTTTTGCGAGAGGAGGCCCCGCCCCCTGCAGCCGAAGCCTTGGTAGGTTTGCTCCCCCCAGTCTTGGGCCTATCATGACCAGCAGCCTCACGGTACAGTCTCTGTTCTGGGGACATCTCCTTGCTGCTGGCTGGGGAGGAAGAATGGCCTCCCTCGAACATCTTGTCGATGAGATAAGAGGTGGGGTCAGAGTACTGGGCGTGGCTTACAGGCGACTTGGCGGCCGAAGATGAAGAGGAGGGATCAGAGGGGGTGCCAGATGGGGATGTCCGCCGGCGGCCACCGGATTTAGAAGTCTGCGGGCTTTTGCTGGATACTGGTCTCTGGCCTGAAGATGTTCCACACACCAAAATATTTTAAAAATCATACAACAGAGTAAGCTAGTGAGATCTACACATAGACAGGCGCACATTTTTAAATAAATGAAAAAGTCTTCTCCCCTGAAAAATTTTGCCTTCTGACCTTAGAACATTCGAACAGTTTGCCAACGATATACATACACGTACAATAGGTACGATATTGGTATCACATCCCTTTCAACACCAAACCCTTATTTAGGATGTGGAACCTCTAATTTGACATCTATCTCCAATAGAACAAAGACAGGGGACAGCCAAAACAGCTTCACGACCCAAAGTTAAAAAATGCCAAGCAAAAGATTCGAACCAGGGTCATCTCAACATTGTAGTCAAAACAATTTTTAAGATTGGCACACTGAGACCAAGCATTATCATACATAAACTACTAATCCTATCAATAAAACACTAGGCCATGGCCTGCCAACAAAGAGTCACTAACAACTGATTGACATCCATTTACAGCATGAACAGTCAATGATAAGATCATAGATAGAAACAATTTTGTCTTTCTGTAACTTGGAGTGGCTCTTGCCTCCCTGCTTCAGGAATAAATGGTCAATTGGTCGACCTTACATCATGGAAAAACCAATCCTCATATAAGCTTTTATTTCAAAGATTTCTCTTTCTAAAATCCATTAAACGTTAAGGAAATGAGAACCTGTCGCACACGGTTCATCAAACAGACAGTGAAAGAAGGGAAATAAAAAGAATTTGATGACGCAAAGGACGGGGAACTCTAACAAGCAAAAGGGGCACAACTGATGCCAGTAGTTAATGCCCCTGTTACGACTTGGTTGTCTGCCTTTCTCTCTCTCTCTCTCTCTCTCTCTCTCTCTCTCTCTCTCTCTCTCTCTCTCTCTCTCTCTCTCTCTCTCTCTCTCCCTAAAAAAAAGAGAGAGAGAGAGAGAGAGAGAAAGAGAGAGCAAAAGAGAGGGAGGGGGGCGGAGAAAGAAAGAGGGGTACAAGAGAAAAAGACAGGGCAGAGTGGAGAACTATAACGGGCAGAAAAGTGGTAAGACTTAACAGTAATAATATAGTGTAAAGCGCATAGAGCCTGCTGTTGAGCGGGGATATGCGCTATACAAATGCTATCTATTATTATTATTAACAGTAGTATTCAATAACAACAAAACAACAGCAGCAGCAACATGCGCGCACGCACACACACACACACACACACACACACACACACACACACACACACACACACGCGCGCGCGCGCACGAACGCACGAACGCACGCATGCACGCACGTACTTCAATATGTGAACTCAAATACATACAAAAACACACACATGTGCACACACACACAAACACACACAGACACTTCCACATACACAGACACTTCCACATACACAAACACTTACAAAAACACACCCTGCAGTAACCCCCCCCCCCCCCAAACTCCCTCACACCACCCTCCCTCACCTTTCTTGTCTGCCTCTCTCTCAGTGGACTTCCTCTCCTCCGAGAACTCGGACAGCCGATCAATGTCCTCTAGATTGGGTGACCTGAGTGATGACGAGCCTAGGGTGGCCTGGACACTGCTCAGTCGACTGCCTGGCTTGGCGGCCTTGCTCTCCACCGCGCTCCACATCTCCTCGATCTTTCGCTGATGGCCGGGAGATAACTCCCTCTCCTCCTGGGGACAACAGAAGCAATCCTAACTGAGGCTTTGTAAAAGTGTGCGTTTTAAGTAAAGCACATCCACAAAACAACGGTAATTCAGTTGAGTGAGAGAGAGAGAGAGAGAGAGAGAGAGAGAGAGAGAGAGAGAGAGAGAGAGACAGAGACAGACAGAGACAGAGACAGAGAGACAGAGAGAGAAATAAGATGGGGTGGGGAGGAGAGGTTAGATTGGCTTTTGTAAAAGTTTTACGGCAATTCCAACACAATCAGGTCATTAAAGCACATAGAACATGCTGGGATACACGCTCAATAGATGCAATAATAATAAAAAATTATTATTATTTTTATTATTATTATTATTATTATTATTATTATTGTTATTATTATCATGAGTATTACCACTCACTTTGTATGAGTTTGAGTAAAGAAAGTACATTGACAAAATAACAGCCATTTAGTTGAGAGAGAGAGAGAGAGAGAGAGAGAGAGAGAGAGAGAGAGAGAGAGAGAGATGCGCCAAACAGAACAGACATAAATCACCCATGTTCTCACAGAGTTCTTGCTTGGCGTCGACTCCTTGGAGCTACTGGTCCGGGAGGACACCACACGATCCTTCCGATCTCGGAAGTTCTTCCTCATCTTGGGGGGTACGAACTCGGAGAGGCTCGTGTTGATGTTGATCTTACGGGGCGGGTGGTCGCCCAGGTCCACTGTGAAGGAGGTCGCTGGGTTCACCTCAGAGCCGGGACTCACGGCTTTACCTCCCTTGGCACCCTGAAGGGTGACACGAAAGGGCGTGAGTGTGTTGGTAGACGTTGTGGAGGTTAGTGGTGGTGTGTGTGTGTGTGTGGGGGGGGGGGTATAGCATTGATATCCTTCATGGTATTTTTTGTGTTTCTTTAAATGGATAGTACAAAGACACAAACACACACACACACACACGCACACACACACACACACACACACACACACACACACACACACACACACACACACACACACACACACAATATGAAATGTAAAATCTAATGAATGTTGCAGCAGATCTAAAGAACGTCTGTTTAAATTTCTAGTGCCAATGACCTTTCACCTTTCTCGACCGTACTGTAAACTTCTGACAACCAAATGTATTACAAATTCAGGTTTCTGCTTGTTCAATTAAAATATTCATCGGTAATCACAACGTAAAGTTCTCTATTTCCTCGTTTAAAAGATGGCACAGCTCCCACTCGACTGGAGATAAAAACACTAAAACAGCACATAAACATTGATAACTGACCATGCTACTAAATATATTAAGCTCCTTTAAAATTGCCTTTCTTAAAGAAATGCGGTTGGAATAAAAACTATGGCTGTGGTTAATACTAGCGTTTACTCAAAAGGTGTAAGAAAATATAATTACCAATAGATAATGTTCAAAAGACGAGGTCTATTCGTCATATTATGTTCAACATACCCCCATCCATAAAAAATTTAAACCAAGTATGCCCGCCTCGTATTGCGGTGGTGACGAGTATTTGACATTATATAGATTGAGTAAGACTTGAAATGGTTCTCCCCGGTATGTCATTCTTTTCTGCAATCAATGCATTACGAAGTTGTTGCACAATGGTGGCCCGATGGTTAGTGTACACCTTGCACTCTAGTTCATCCCATACGTACTCTACTGTATTCAAGTTGGCTAAATAAGCGGGTCATAACAAACAATAGAATCGCTGCAGTTCTAGTTACATTGTACAAACACATGGTTTGTATAACGCCATGTGCATTTGAAAAGTGAAGAGCTTGTAATGGAGAGGAGATTACAAACTATTTTTAAAATTATTATTGGGTTTTTTTAATGCAGGTGTTATACTCCCACATCGACAAAATTCAGATAATTATTTTAGGGGGCAGGATTCGACTCCGCTTGTCAGGGTCATCCCTGGCTGAGAGGAATAGTATAATGGCAGAAACACTGAGATATTCCTTGTCAATCTCCCCATTTGGAAATCGCGCTTGGGTCTCCTACGGCCTAACACCTGACCGCAACATTGTAACCGCTATTAACGGGTCAGGTCTTCCTGTTACCAGAGAATCTGTGTACTAGCTCCCTGCTGTTACCTTGACGTCCGGTGAGAAAAGACTGTCTTTGGAGAGGGAGGAGCTTATACTCTTAGCCGGGGTCACCGTGTCACGTGACCGCTCATCCAGACCCTCTGGCGTCTCGCCCTCGTCCCTGATAGGGATTTCCATGTAGGTGGCGCTGCCGGTACGCCGAGGCGTGTCCTTCTTGTCCCCGTCCATCCCGCTGGTGTTGGCGGCCCCTGGGCTGGTGGTTAGGCCCTCGCTACTCAGGGTCAGACTGTTGGGCCGGGAGCGCTTACCTCCGGTATCTTTCTTCTCACCTGGGGGGTAGGGGGGGGGGTGAAAAGTTTAAGTTTGAGTTTTGAGTAATGCGAAACATACTGACATGATAACAATTTTAAAAAATATTTTTTTAAGTAGGTTAAAAAGGAAAACAGATGTTTGGTATAGGAAAAAATGAGCAAATCACACCACAGCACCCGCCAACCACCCACGAAGAGAGGGGGGGGGGGGAGAGAGAGAGAGAGAGAGAGAGAGAGAGAGAGAGAGAGAGAGAGAGAGAGAGAGAGAGAGAGAGAGAGAATAATACTTCCAGTCTGCATGAAGTGTATCATCACAAAGAGGTTATTTCTGTATGTCTCCTCGCCATGATGGATAATAATAGAGCACGTAAAAGATGGATCTATATACCCGACTAACCGGTTAATTTTTCAAAATAGGGTCACTTGGAGCTAAGTGTCTTTTCATGCAATTGCTTTAACGCCCCCAAAGCCACAATTTAGATCATTTAGGAAGCGGGAAACCGACAAAGTCGTTAAAGATTTTCTCCCCGTTCTGGAATCGAACTCGAGCCTCCTGCGTGCAAAAGCGAAGCACCACACAGTGCTATACAACAGACGCCAGTGAATTTCTTGTGATCTGTCGGATGAACTACACATTTCTTTCCACTGCTCACGAGACCCGAGTTCCGGACCGATCGAGGAGAGAAACGTTTTCCATAAAGATTTCTTAAAGCAGCGTCAGCTCAGAGTAGACAAAATAAAACTGATGAGGATTGAAAAGAAAGAAATATTTGCGTGGGGAGGGGGGAGGTGTGTGGAAGAAAGCATATGGATCTCCTCTACATGGGGAAGTAAACCTTGAGATATGTTTTGACGGCTTCCTTTCTTCTCATCAGAGCTGTTTCTTTACACAAATCAGAACTCAGTTTGGTTCAGTTTAGTTTTAGTAAGAGTTTTACGGAACTTGCAACACAAATAGCCCATATAAATGCCGACAATATGGGCTTTTCCAAGAGAGTAACATAAAAAAAACAAGGAGGACATATAAAGAGCGCAGATGTTTGACAGGAAAGAAGAAGCCGAACTCATCTTAACCCAGTAATGACAAAAGGATGTACATCTCACACCCAGTTCCTCCAAAATGGATGCGTGCCCAGCAGAAGAACTGCAGCACGTTGTACAACATCTCGCCTACTCCCTTGTTCAAACACGCGAATGTGTTGACAAACGGGGCTGGAAAACCGATTGGGACGACGAACCTCCAGCCAATACAGGCAACACGCCACAAGTACGTTTTACTAAATGTTACATTTTAAAACACTGACGATGGGCATTCTAATTCTAGAGATTTAAAAACGTTTGAAGACGCGCTAGTTGGAAGATCTTTTTTTTAAAAAGCGTCATTATGATTTAAATACAAGTTCTTCAATTATGTCTCCTTACCTGAAAATTGAAACGGCAGACAACAACACACTTACTACGCATTACACAAATTTGTAATTCTGACTTGTGTATAATGTGCCAGGACGTTGCCTCTGATCTTCTGCTATTCGGACCAATGTATCAGCTTTGTCCTTAAAGAGTTCACATACTGACCGTAAGAGAACACCAGGCTGATAGTTTTGTTTTAATAAAGGGGGTCACCTCGGCAAAAAAAAACCCGGTCAATTAGTACAAGGAAAATTAAATAAAAAGAGACGGAAAAAATAGAAGGATGGTAAAGGAGTAGTAAGAGTAAGACCTACCAGTGGCACTACCTAACCACCCACACATTACGCTGTTTGCCAACAGTAACCTCATTACTTGCTGAGAATACGGCCTCGATCAGACACACACTGAGGGTGTCAGCACAACATGACAGCCGAAATGAGGGTATTTGGTTTGTTATGCATATCTCGAACGAGTTGGTACAGATACAATTTGGCATGCATTTCTCGAAAGATGTAGTTGTATAAAATTGGACCCAAAGTTAGTGGGTTAATTTGCAGAAAACCAAGCAAACTAAACCAGAAGAATATAACTAAAACGAAAACAACTAAGCTGGACTTATGAGCATATCATAACCACAAAAAGATGCCCTGGATGGGACATCAGTAGAAGAGAAAACAAGTTGGCAGGCAAATTCAAACCGTCTCCAGAAGTCATTTCACAGTCCTTCTATAACTCTACGATTCTGACTTGGTTGTAAAAGGGCGGAGCTACTGACTGAAGTGTCTTAAGGCCATTCGCAAATGGGGGGCTTTTTACATGTTCTTCTGCACAGTAGAGTTGTAAATGGACTGATTCATCAATGTCATGTTCAAAACTGTGCCTGATCGGCAACAGGGAACTCCTGCTTTTTCTATCCTAATCCTTACTATCGGCATTTTTACCTCTGCTTTTTTTTTGTATGATTGTCACACCCTTATGACCCGTTATTTCCAGGGTGCCTTGATAGTCGAGGCAGACTTTGCGCTGTTGAAGCTAGAGAGGTGAGCAGAGTAAGCCTGATTCCCTGTAAGGACTTAAGACCTTATGCAGTTACAAGCGCCGCAAAACCTTACTAAAAGTAACTAAAATAAGGCCTAGACTGCAAACATGTTCTGCTATCATCGACACTGTTCACCACATTTAGGGGGCGGGCCTCTCCAACCACATCTGTAAGATACCCACCCAGCGGAAAGACAGACTCTTGATAAACATCTTCTCCAAATCGGGAACCGAACGCACGTCTTTTGCGTTAACTGCTAAAAGCGTCATCAATGCAACAAGATAGTGAAAGGAAGGTCCATCCGACAAGGAAGGTCCATCGGACAAGGAAGCTTATTATTTCAGGACTACCAAGCAGACCGGCCGGCCTTGTAAACACACTACAACAGAAAAATA